ATAGTTTGTCTATTCCCTGGTTTCTTGTAAGCCCAGAACTAGCCACACACAGCTTTGTCACCAGAACTCTGTCGGGGCCTCGTTGTATTTGGGAAGCAGAGGCAGCCTATCCAAAGCCCTGGTTGTTCCCACCTCCACTAACCGGCCCCATGCTGGAAAAGCCCCTTTGAATGAAGCCAGTGCAAAGGCTTGCTTGGTGAGGTCAGGGGGCCTGGAGCACTCCCGACTACATTTGGTGACTGATTTCCTCTTGGTCCGGAAGCATCTGTGTCTAGGGAAGGTTGACATAGGCTGATCTCACAGGCTGCCTCTCACTCCGTCAAAATGGCAGTTACTGCCCCCCCCCCCCCCCCCCCCCCCGTAGTTCCAGTCTACAGGCATTTCTGAAGTAGCTGTGCATTAGAATGGTGGAGGAATTGTGGGTGCCACAAGGTTTGGAAACACCATTCTACCTAGGTGTGTAAGAAATACATGTTCACCTACAGTGTGGGACAAATAACAGAGGCCAGTTCGTACGTGTGCTGTGTGGCTGCACTGAATGAATGTGACTCCTGCTCAGTGGTGTACATCTGTGCCCTAAGAAGCCGGGGCAGCTCTGAGCTGCTTTGGGATGGTGACAGGGCTTTGGTATAGCCATTGGTTGGTTCCTTTCTTGCTCTGGGACCGCAAGACAAGTTACTTAAAATGGCTCCATGGGTGAGTTTCTGGTAGTAGTGTGCCAGAATGTGTCAACAGCTTTGAAATTACGTAGAGTATCTTACGGATACTTGGGTTCTATTTATTGGGATTTTTTGGTGTCACAGACATGCATAGCTTTGTCATGTTCTGAAGGGGTTAGAAACTGGTAATAGGCTCTTCACTGAATCATCCCTGACTGTAAATACCATGACCTTGAACATTAGTTAGCTGCCATAGACTTTTGTAACCTAGGTTCTTTTACAGATATACCGCAGTAAAGCAGCTACCTAAAGGACAGTGGGGTTTATGGTACAGTTGGTTGCCTTAAAATTTGGACTCTTATCTATGAAAAAACGTAAGGGTTGGTGTAGAAATATCGTCGTAGCAGGCAGTTTAATCCCCCTTCCCTCCCAGTTCTGACTGCTGCTTTAATTTAGTCCCCATGATGCACTTCTGGAAGCTTGACTGACTCTCCCCAGTGAAATGACTGTTCTCTCAATCCTAGAGTGAACACAGGCCTTGAAGGTCTCCTGAAGGAGTTGAGAGCTGCTCAGAGAAGGGAGGGAATGCCCTGACTGTCTGAATACCTGTCTCGCTTATGCCAGCCCACTTTACAGGTTCTCATCTTGATGCTAGAGGACCTGTTTATCTCCAAGTGTTTTGTTTGCTTGTTTGTTTGTATTTGTTTTGTTATGTTTTTTATTGTGAGATCCTCCGTGACAGTCTCATCATTGGCACAGTAAAGTGATTTTTTTCCCCATGAGCTATTTGAATATATTTGTCAAATACCGCATTTTTAAGAAGGGTGTGTGATTGGGGTAGGGTGGTCGAAGATCATCTGTGCTCCTATATCTAGGTGATGATTTCCTTCCCATGCAACAAAGGGCATGTTCTGAAGCTGTCTGAAGATACTAGCCTAGTGGTTACCCAGTGTCATTATATTGTCTAGATTGCATTTTGCCAAGTCCCTTTGTATTTATTATGTGCGCCTGCCTCTGTGTAGGGCACTATGAGTCCATGATCTTATTCAATCTTCATAACCCTGCAGGACACACATAGTACTTACCTGGAGGCAGAAATGAAGGAGACTGAGGGAGTGGAGGGAAGGAAGAGGCTAGGGACGGGAGACACCACTCGGCCAGGCCAGTGAAACAGAATCTCCATCCCGGTCCTCCTGAAATTCACAGTTCTCATGCTCAGTCTCTGAGAAGCCAGCATAAAAACCATCTTACAGATACTGCTGTGACTGAGATGGCGTCTGCAAGAGCTTTGGACTGAGTGTGAGGACCATCCAGCATACATCTCTCATCCTGAGTAGACAGCACTGGTGGAGCCCAGTCCTTCCAGAAACCAGGTCCTATGGTTGATTGGCTCTGTCGTGTTCTATCACATGTACTTCAGTTTGGTGACTGTCACGTGATCTTTGAGATGGCACCTACTTGCTATAACAGGCCAGACATTGCAGGACTTAAAGTTCCCAGAAGGCATAGCCCTTGTCTCTCAGGATAAGTATAGTGTGGGCCAGGAGAGGTGTGCACTCCACCCCAGGGGTGGGAAGATTGCGATGTGGAGAGATCGGACCTTGGGATCCAAGGCTAGAGAGACACAGGTGTTTACAAGAAGAAAACCCTTTTTTGTAAAGGATCCAGGTATTGGCAGGTTGTGTGGGGCAGCAGATAGGCCCTGACTTCTGCATATTTGATCCTGGTGTTCTTCCTCACTTGAGAACAGGCCAGCCTGGATAGACAGTTGGTCATGCAGTTTCTGAGGACCTGGTGGCTACATAGTCAAGGTCATGGCCTACTAAGACTCCCATTCCACTCCTAAAGTCAGGTAGTGCCTAAAGCTTCCATTTGTCTTCCACTCTCTCCACCTCCGTCTCTCCAACACTGCTGGAGGGTGTTGTCTGTGCAGAAGAAAAGAACTGCCTGGGCTCTCGAATGATAGCGGAGCACTGGCAGCAGTCACTGCGCTCATCCTCGTTCAAGTTGTCTGGAGAACTAAGGCCCTCACCTGTCTTACTGTTACCAAATGCTCTTGTCTTCTTTCCTGTACCCAGAGAGAAGGAAGGTTCCCTCACGCTCCCCGTTAGTCCTGCCTGGAAGATCCCTTGGGATTGGTGACAGGACCACAGTGTCTCCTGCCAACTCCTTGCTAACCATGACAATGATAATGAAGCACCACAGTTAATAAATGTGCCATGTGTTAGGTCTTCTGTGCAAGCCTTCCCCGTGTGTTCTCTGAGAACAAGGGCTTGATTCAGGAGCAGAAGCCACACTTTGGCCTCTAGGCTGTGTGGCTCTTGAGCCTCCTGGGTCTTCTCAGCCATGGCCTTGCACCAGGGTTGCCTAACTCACGGAGATGGTGGCTGCTGGTTTACCTGCCCACTTCCAGCACCGTCTACCTCCATGGTGACTGTCACACCTGCCACTGCCCCCAGCAGTTCCCAAGCAGGGCCAGTCTTAGGACTCCTGGGCCATCCCTCTGTGTGGGATATGTGGCCCATCTTGAGAGCATCTGCTTCCTTTCACATCACCAGGGTTTAATCTTTCCGACTCAGTTTGAAAACTTCTGGAAGGTAGTCTTGGTCATTTGCCTTTTCCCCAGGCAGTTCTCACCCCATCCCTGTCTGTCTTTCTTCGGGAACTGACCCCTATTCCTCCTCAATCATTCTTGACAGAAGACTTTCCTAGGAGTCTTCTCTTAAAGGACCCTTAGTGCGCCTCCATGAGGGGTGGCCCCAGGCTTGGGCACAGCGACCCTTTGCTTCCATACACCCAGCCTTGGCCACCATCCTGGTTGTTGACTCTGGGGCCACCCCTTTCAAACGTTTGGTAACTTTCACCTTAGTCATTTCATTTGCAAATGGTAGCTAGGTTCCCTGAGCAACTTTTTCTCTGGAAGAGTTATGATTTTACAGGAAGCTGTGAAGCAAATGACTAGAGATGCTCTATTGGGATCGGCTAGGAAGACCATGTTTTTCTTTCCTAACATGCCATGGGAAAGTAGCGCTTCTTGATGATGCCTTTGCCATCCTTAACTGTGGTAGGAAGCCACTCTTCCTGTGTTTTATGCCTTTCTCATCTATTTAAACAGCCAGAAAGGGGGCCAAGAGGAAACTCACGGGAAGGGAGCTAGCTGCTCAGTGGTTCCTGAACTCAGGAGGCGCTGGTGGGCAGTGCAGGAACCTGCCTTTTTTCTTTTAATGCAATTCCTCTTCCTTGATGTTAATGCAACTTGTGCCCTTCCTAGAAGTAATAAAAGGAAATGAAGACACGTTCTGAAATGAAACTTGACTCTAATCCATTCATCATCTAATACTAGCCTCTTTATCTTCTCTGGTACCTAATCTGGTTAAATGTCCCTGTTGTAGGATTTTAGTGAAAATCCCCTATTGGGAATAGGGTTTTTTGCAATTGGATTACTCTCAGTAAATGGCCCAGTAGTTCGCTTGTTTCAGCTTAATTTTTTTTTTCCTTTGTGATCTTGCTAGGCTGAGTTATAGCCCAGCATAGAGGGGGAGGGGCCAGAGCAAGGGGCGGAGAGAGGTGAGTGCTTGGGAAAGCCTGGGGACATGGCAGTGAGGAATATTTGAGATGCCTTTATTTTCTTTGTTTTCTGCTTCTCTTTAACCATCTACCCTGCCCCAGTACAACAAACACTTGTACTTTATTGGTTAGAACTGCCCATTTCTCAAATGCATACTGTTTATTAGCCCAATTCATCATCATCCAGTTAATTTATTAGCGGTCCCTGATGACTTCCTAGTGAATCAGGGCTGCGGTAATCTGCATAAAATATGCAGGTGCTGGCTGGGCCAGAGCTTCTGGTAAAGTTACAGTCTGCCATCCTGGCTGAGTGTGAAGGGTGGCAGCTTGCTGTGTAAGAGCCTGTGGAATTAGGGGTTGGTAGGGAGGCTGCACAGCCAGGCTCCAGCCTTGCCTGTGAGGCCAGCCTGCCTCCTAGAGGTCCTTGGGGTAGGAGATTCCACCCCACTATGTGCATAGCCCTACTAAGCGTTAAGAGAGTAAAGCTTCACCTTTGACTCATCTGCTGATGGGAGAAGTGCAAGACCTTAGGTTCCAGTGGTGATGGATGGTGGAGTAGGGGTGCTCATAGGTGAACCTGAAGCGGGCCAGTGTGCAGAGCAAACTGTCTCCTACTTTTAAATGGATTAGGGAGATGGGGGTGGGCACAGTTGTGGGCATCTTATAAAGTGAAGCCAGGAGGGTGTTGTAGGGGACACATGCACTTGCTCTGAAGTTGGGGCTGTGGCAGCCCAGCTCACCATGTCTTCCTCTGTTCTCCCTCCCCCCCCACAGTCGAACAAAGTGCCGGTGGTGCAGCATCCCCACCATGTCCACCCACTCACGCCTCTCATCACCTACAGCAATGAACACTTCACCCCGGGAAATCCACCTCCACACTTACCAGCCGATGTAGACCCCAAAACAGGTAAGTTGGGGAACTCTACAAGTCTCTGTCAGGAGCCTGGAGTTGGCATGATGAATGGAATGGGAGCGGTGTGGAGGGGTCCTCAAGTTCTCACCTGGGAGCTGAAAAGGAAGCTGTTAGGGGGTCCAGAGCTTGGTGTGTGTTGGGGGCAGTTTCTCCTTCCTCTTTGGAGAGATCCACTTACAGGGGTAAGATTTATGTCAAGGCTTTTGGAGAGGGCTGCTTGGGGAACCTGGTTCTGAATACCTCTCTAAATAAACTAAGTAGTAATAGGATTAGAGGTGTCTCCTGGGCTCTTTGAGCTTCCTGAGACCAGCATCATGGTTTTGAAGGGACCCAGTCACTTAAGAGTGACTTGTTGGTGTATCCTTTAGGGACCACACCACCAAGGGTCTCATAGTCCTCGTAGATTTCTCTGCACTTTCCTCTTCCATTCCAATATCTTGGACGTTTTTTTGTTGAACCCATTTTACAGATGTAGAAACTGAAGCCTCGGAAGGTTTCTTCTTTTCACCCAGCAGTATCTTGAGCAGGGCTGCCACACCAGCCTCAGCTTCTACACCCATCTTTTTTTCTGTTCCCCAAAAGGGAAAATGGTGAAAGCGGGGTTGCTTATAGCTCCCCCTACAGCAAGATCCAGTATGGCAGGCAACCACTGCTCACAGACAGGCTCTCGGAGCCCTCTGTGTGGATGCTAGAGGCAGCCTGGCAGTTTGACTGGCTGGAGGAGGCTACCAGCCCGCCCCAGGCTCCACAGAGTACACAGCTACACTTGCAGCAGGCAGTGTCTCATTTGAATAATGGTAGACCAGGGAATAGCTTTTAAATGGTTATCGTAAACCATATGATTAACGTCTAAGGACTGTTTATTTTTCCTCTGCGAACATTCTTTCAAGTGTGCAAATGGCTCAGTGTAGGGTCCAAGCCTAGCTAATCTGTTTGCTTTTTGTAATAGAGAGAAAGCAATGTCTGCGTTAAAATGTCACCCAGGGAGGCTTAATTTACAGATTAAAAGCTTCCTGAATGAATTTCTTGAAAAATGAGATAGTTTTTATCCATGAATGTTGCTGTCCTGTCCCTTCAATTCTGGGTTAATTCTGGCGCATTCTGCACATGTTGCCTCCCACTTGGACTGGGCAGCTGGGCAGAACCATTCCTCTCAAGCCAGATTGCTCTCAGGACCCCACTTCCTGAGGATTGATGGCCAGATGTGCAGCCTGCTCAGTGAGGAAGTGAGCCATGGTGTACACTTTCAGCACACACTCCTGTGGACCTCGGGAAGGCTCATGGTCCTTCTGACCCATGACGATCCCGGTCAGCAAGTCGGGCTGGCGCCCACAGGTGAAGCTGCCCTCCAGGCAGTCATAGTCCAGAGGTGAGCACATCAGGCCCACCTTCTCCCTGTCTGTTCAGGTCTGACTCCTGGGCGAGAGACACCAGCTGGCGTTTGGTGGTTTCTCTTCATGGAGAAATTGGCCAGCTATGGGAGCTGAGTCTTTTGAGAGAAATCAGTCACTTCTCTGAGTCATAACTTTTACAAGACATGCCTATAATCACAGCACTTAGGAAACTGTGAGTTCAAAGTCAACGTGGGCTGTGTAGTTAGACCCTGTCTCAAAACACTAAAATCAATTAATTAATTAAGCCTTACAAATCAGAAGTATAACTCCCACATAGGCAAGCCACTCAAGATAAAGGGCAATGGACCAAGTAACAAAGCAAAAGGAATTAATAATTACGACCTCACCTGCAGTGCGCCAAGCTTTTTAGATTTTTTTTTTAAAACTTGAAGTAATCGCTTGAGTCATGTAAGGCAAGAATAGCCGAGATGGCATCTTCTTGGTCTCATTCACTCAATCACACCAGTCCATCGGGATGAGCCAACTCACTGTGCAAACTGACGCCGTAGGAAAATGAGAAGAAAGCCGGGGCAGCCCTCTCCCCAGTGTTGGGAGTGACCTCCAGCTGGGATTTGAGGAGAGACAACCCCTTTCCTTATTAGTTTCCTGCTCCCCTCCCTCCACAATCCTTCTTGCCTGTTCACTCTTCCTTCATACCTAAAACCCACTGCTTCTTCTCCCAGGAATCCCACGGCCTCCGCATCCTCCAGACATTTCTCCGTATTACCCACTGTCGCCCGGCACTGTGGGACAAATCCCCCATCCGCTAGGATGGTTAGTACCACAGTAAGCAGCTTCAGTTTTTAATTCCCTTCTTGTTTCTTGCATGAGCATGCTTATTATTATTGTGTGTGTGTGTGTGTGTGTCTGTGTCTGTCTGTCTGTGTATATGTGTGTGTGTGTGTGTGTGTGTGTGTGTGTGTCTATGTGTCTATGTGTGTGTGTCTGTGTCTGTCCGTGTGTGTCTGTGTGTGTGTGTGTCTGTGTGTGTGTGTGTGTGTGTGTGTGTGTAAGCACGGGTGATGCATGTTTACAGAGGGACAACTGATAGGCTAACATAAGGAAGATGCTGTTGAGGTGTCCTGTGGATTTGCAGAAATCACACCATTTCAATGAGCTGTGTTGAAAAGGGTCAGTGGTAACTGGCACTCTGAACCCATGGTCCCCAAACATGTTCTTAAGCTACTTTGGGAACTGCAGAAGGCTAGTAATAGTAAGGCTGATTTCGGTCCTTCCGCCAGTGGCAGCCCAAACTGGACTCGTGTTGTGGGGTTGAGCTCTCTCTTGGAGTGGGAGTGAAGGTTTCTTCCCTTCAGCCCCTGGACCGCAGCTGCCATTTAAAGCTTCCCTGTGAAGGCAGATAGCAACAGTGGAAGGAAACTCATGCCATCTGTCTAGCTTCTCTGAGAGTCTTTGCATGGCTAATGCTTTCGCCAACTGTGGGGTTACAGAGGGACAGGTAGAACACCCCTCCCCGTTAGCATTCAGGGGCTGGGATGCCCAAATAATTTGGCTGCCACTTACAACTTAAAAGTATGATGTGTTTAGAAATCAGGGCAGAAAGGCCTTCCATGGCTAAGCGTACCTTGTACCGTGTAGCACGTGCACGAGTATGCACATAATGTTTGAGATGATCTATTTTGAGGCATCTCTTTCTCCATTTTATCAGTGACCCCCTAGCTTTAGACAACACAGAGCAATGTTGAATGCTGAAGGAAGCAAATCCTGGTCAAACTGTCAATTCTGGATCTTACAGGAGACAGACTGTCACAGTCCTAAAGGCAGTAAAATTGGGACTAGTGCCCCACTCTAGCCTCTTTCTCCAGCTAATAAACCCTGTGCTGTTTGTCCATCTGAAAACAACAGGGTGTGCCAATGCAGGAGCTACGCTGAGTACCAGTTGTGGGTGTGATTTCTGTTTCTTTGTCTTATTTTTATTTGGTGAGGTAGACACGAGGGTTGAACCTGCTTCTTCTGCGTCTTCTCCACTTGATGGGGCTGATCCTCAGTAGTTCAGTCTTCAGATGGGGAGATACTGAAGGCTGGATAAAAAGGAATAGCCAACTCAGGCAACCCTCTGTCAGGAAAAGTTGTGTGTCTTTCATGAGGATGCTATTCTGCATGTTGCTGTATTTTTTAATTATTGTAATGAGGTGTGATTGTCTATTGGTTACCCACAATTCTTCTTGGGGACTCTCCCCCCCTGGTAACTCTTGTCAACACTTGTTAATTTGACAAAAGGCTACAAATTAAGCTCTGTTAATTTAATGTTTTCTCACCGAGATCTAAATACCGAAAGAGGCCCAAAGCGCAACTGAAGTCCTTTGATTCGCTGTACTTTATTTTGGTATAAATTTACATTCATTATTGTTTTCCTTTGGATGTGTAGCCCTCAATTAGCGTGATGGCTCCATTAAAGGAAGCAAGACTTCGCCTTTAATTATTACAACAAAACACCTAGTCTCAGCTTGGGGAGAGGGTCTCTATTGACATAAGCAGAGGTTATAAAATTTAATTAGCCATTCCTATCAGATTTATGGCATTCAAATTGTTCTGTGTTTCTTCCCTTTGATCCTGCCTGTACAATCCCCAAGATTTTTGTTCTGATCAAATGAGAATAAAGCTTTACTGTGCAGAGAGAACTTCCCCTCTTCTTCCTTTCCTTCTCCCCACCCCCAACCTCATTTCTAGTCTCTCACTTTTTGTACCCCTTCTTTGTAGGCAAGGTCAGCCTGTGTACCCCATCACGACAGGAGGGTTCAGACACCCCTACCCCACAGCGCTGACAGTCAACGCTTCTATGTCTAGGTGAGTTTCAGCGACCTCTCAGAAAGCCCTTCTAGACAGCCACTAGGCCACCAGGGCCCATGAGCATGTGTGGGTATAATAATACAGACCAATGTTCATTTGACTTCCCTCCTAGAAAATCCCAAAATGTTGCCTTGACCTTTCAAGGTAAGTGATTGTCTGAGACTTTAGGAGTCTATCCATAGAGCATCAAAGTGTCAGATTAAGAAGGCAGGAGTAGGGCTGGGAGAAGCTCGGCAGTGAAGAGCACTTGCTGCTCATAAAAAAGACCTGGGTTCAGTTCCCAGCACCCACGTGACCGTTCACAACTGTTTGTAACTCCACTTCCAAGAATCCAGTGCCCCCTTCTGGCCTCCACTAGCAACAGGCATGCATGCATGCATGTGGTACTCATATATGCAGGCACACACACTCATACACATTAAAATAAATAAATCTTGAAAACAAAGTCAGGGGCAAAGCAGCTAGAGTGGGCGGTGCTTCAGGAGCAAAGCGGCTAGAGTGGGCGGTGCTTCATGGGGAAAGCGGCTAGAGTGGGCGGTGCTTCAGGGGGAAAGCGGCTAGAGTGGGCGGTGCTTCAGGGGGAAAGCGGCTAGAGTGGGCGGTGCTTCAGCGTGAAAGCGGCTAGAGTGGGCGGTGCTTCAGGGGGAAAGAGGCTAGAGTGGGCGGTGCTTCTGAAGTTATTGTTTCTCTGTTGTCCTCTGGTGAGTAAGAAAGAAGGAAGTGAGGATAATGTTATGACTATAATTCAGAGATTTGAGAAAAAATTGATGGGTGTTTTGAAAGTTCAGATTCCGGTTCAGAGTCTATAATAAGCTGTATTCTGGCCCCTCAGAGCAGCAGTGTCCAGTAGAAATTTCACGGGATCCATATTATATTTTGCATTTAACATTAAGTTCACATTTTTTCTCCCCCTCCCCGCACTTTCCATGATGATATCACTTTAAGAAGGTCGCCCCCCCACCACCTATTACCCCGTGGTGAAATTGTTTTAATGGCATGTTATATTCATCAGTCATACTGTGTGGCTGCAGTATTGTCTTTTCAACATGCAATGACCATGCCACAGCTACCACTCTTATTTTCTTTTTTTCTTAACTTAGCTTTTACATGTGACATGCATTTACACTTTATAGCGCATCTCAAGTTGGACTGAGCACATTTGAGAGACTTAGGACACATGCCCCGTGGCCGTGCTATTGACCTACACAATGCTGCTAAATCCTTGAAAGTTGAGAAGAAATTATGTGCGCATCCATTCCTACAGATTCTTATTTAAGCATACATACACTGTACATATGTATCCCCAGGACTCATCTTCCTCTTTCTAATTAATTCTAGCTAATTTCTCAGCGACTGCTAGTTTATTTACAAACTGGTTGGCAGCAGTATGTTTAAGTAGTCACTAATTGCCCCTAATGATAGTTTTATTTTCTGTTCATCTGATTTTCGGTTGAGTTAATTAAATCGGTGGAGGTTTAGACTTTCCTGATGGGCTGAAGCAACCAATCCATTTTGATGATGCCACGTGATTCAATTAGCATGTAGCACACGGCAAGGATGCTGTCCCCCTGCCTCTGCCTCTGCCTCTGTGCTCTGTGGCAACACTGGGAGCCAAAGTGAGAGAAGGGGCTGAGGATTGCCTGGAACGCTGCTTTTCCTGCTTGCAGGAAAGCAAGTTTTGTCTTGGAAACAGTGAGCCTCATACCCACTGAGAGAAGCAGGCTGTGGTGTGGCTAGAGTTTATAGCTACTCCGTGAATGTTATGCAGCTTGAAAGATCCGTTCCCCACATGTGCTATATCATCTAAATCTCAGAATCCATGCCTGTATGAGCTACGCAGGAAAATGATTTTCTGTGTCCTCTCGGCTGGAGAAAGTAGAAAGGTTATACTTACCAAATGATGTCGTCACAGTCCCCGTACAGTGTGGGAGCGAATGGGAAACCTCGGAGGAGAGGGGAGGGGGCTGCTTAGGATCCTAACTCCGTCCCAGCATTCGCATGCTGCTCCTGATTCTTCCTCTTGCTTGTTTGTTCAGGGCATCCAAAGGTTGAAAGCAATGAAGTAATCGTAGGATAGGGATTGAGGGTTAAGCTTATTGATTGAATTATCATTAGGAGGCTAGCTGATGATTTATAGGTCGCAGGGGGTGGAGGAAAGGAAGGGGGTGGTGGGAAGAAAGGTTAGGGGCTGGTGGTACCTGGGGGGAGGTGGCCGATTCCCCAGGTAGGCCAAATGAAAGATAGCTAGTTAAAAAGAGTATACAGCAAATTAAATACATTATTGTGGTAATGGGGCGACAGAAGTATAGGTCTATTATATGTATGGCAGTTACAGCAAATGTAGGCAGCTTGCCCTGCTCCAGAACACCCTTTGATATTTATTCTATTCAGCAGCAGGGCCAGGACTTCTCAGAATTAAGTGATGGGTCATTATACTTTAAACACCATGGAGAAGCCTAGATTGGCAATTAAACAGCTCTTGCTGACACTCACTTGTGCCACCCTGTGACCCCCTTTAGATTGAGATGTTGGAGCTCCGGGCCCTCAGCCTGCTAAATTGGGCAAGGCTCTTCTCATGACGAGAGCGGGCCCTGAAATCTGCCGGCTTCAAAGGGAGCGAGATCATGTATAAACCATAATGTGGGTGCACCGTGGCTCACAAAAAATAAGGCAGGAAGAGATGAAATGTTACAAGTGCAAGGGGGGAAATGAGAGAATAATGACAATCCTAATGCAACTCAAAGCGGGATTGTTGCACGGGAAAATGCATCCTACTGCTTGTGCATAGAGTCAAGGCCGACAGATGACATGCAGCTAACAGAAATGTGTCAACAGTGAAGCAAAGTGAGCGTGAGTATGAGAGAGGCCCCTGAGACAGCCAGAAACAAAAATTAGTTGTCCTTAACAAGTTAAGGTTCATCATTATATTCTGGCTTGGAGCCATAAAAGCAGACGGGGGTATATAATGAGCTGCTTGGAATTTTTTGAGGGTGTTTATTGCATTTCATGAAACAGTTGTCTGCAGAAAGGGGTGAAGGTATATGTACCTCATGGGCCACACACTTACCGACACGCAGTTTTTCTGCTGATGCGCATTTTTCACATGTACCAACATGTATAGAGGTCAAGGGACTCGCAAGTGTTTAGTTTTTATAGTGGCACCCAGATCCCCCCACCCTAAAATGTGCTCAAGTCTTGTTGCCTTTGCCTGGTATTTGTGTGTGTGCATGCACACAGGCAAGCACACATTCCCACACTGTCTTTCTGTCTTTCTCTCCGTGGTGTGTATGTACACGTACTCTCACACTGCGGGAAAGGAACGTATGTGTCTGAGACAGTTATAGTAAGAACGGCCACTCCGCCCACCTTTCGCCAAAGGGCTTCCAAAAACGTATCTTTTTCACTTGCTTTTGCTCGTAGCCTGGGAGCAGTGGGAGGAACAGGGTGTAGCTTGAGAGTTCAAGCGTTTGCTTTTCTTCCTTTCTTCCCTTTTTTTTTTTTTTGGTCTTTGAGGGGACAGGAGTGGGGTTGGTTGTTACCACACACACACACACACACACACACACACACACACACACACACACACACACACACACAATCTCTCTGACTGCTATTAAGGCATGCCATTGTTTCCAAACTCCAGGCTGCTGCAGTAGAGGGTGGAATTTCTGAGGCAGGTATATACAGTGACTCTGGGACCCCCCAAAAGACCAACATTCTTCATGGGTATTTTCGTCTCTGTTAAGATGGACTGAGCCTGTTCATTCTCTAATTTTTTGAAGTCCCTTTTCAGTTGAACATTTGTTATATTATTTATTTCTCTGGTCCGCTTATGAAAGAACGCTGTAAATAAATACAAGATTCCTTTGAAATAGCCATCACGATGAAGCCTTACCAAGACCCCTCTCTCCCCGAACCGGCGTTCTCAAGAGCAGGATGCTGGTCTCTGCTGGCCCCCGGGTGGCAGTTGTCCTCTTCTGGCTTAGCCTTATTAGAGGGGCAGCCGTGGCCTCAGTCGGCTTCTCTTCACCCCGCTTGAGCACGGTGCCCTTCCCTCCTTTGCCCTGTTTTTCTAAACACTGTGTGTTACTTCAGTTGAGGAGGTGTTTTCCCAGCAGCGCAAACAAAACGTAAAATTTGTCAGCCGTTGGTCCTGTGGACTGGAACCAGCTTGTGTGCCCCGGCAAATTTGTGTGTCGGAACTGCCAGTTCAAGAGCTGAAGTGTGCTCTGGGGACTTTCTCAGAAGCAAGTGCTGTCTTTTCCGTGATCACAGTTTCTATCATTTACAAAGCTTTTGAATGATGTGAGGATAACACATTAAGTAAAAGTAAGAATCTTAGAGGAGAAAGGGCATATAAATCGAAATTCAGTGCTTGTGTGTGTCTCCCCATTTTTCTTTAAAAAAAAATACAAATTTATTCAAAATGCCCATGATTTATGACGAGAGTCACGCAGGAGCTATGAGAATTTTTCTCTCTGTGTCTCCCTCTCTCCTATTACTCTGAAATGGTGGGCGCAGTGACGAAAGAAAAAATGAAAATCTGATTGCTCTCCATCACCAGAATGAGGACTAATGAGGCATGCAGAGCATTGTCAAGACATGTATATACATTTCAAGCACGTTAATATTTTATTTAGCTGTCAGTACACAGCAAACGCTATCACCTGTCCTTCCAGAGCTGATCAGTACTTAGGAAATTGCCTTCTGAGGGGCCGCAGCTCAGGCCTCAGAAACCAAGTGGACGTGCAATTCCTGGCTGGTCGTCCAAGCCCACTTTTCCGCCCAAGTACATCAGTTGAATTTGTCTTTTGCTAAAGATGTTAAAAATCGTAATGTCTCATGTCAGTAGCAATAATGAAGGAGAAGATAAGCTTTAATGACATTATGAGAATCATTATGTTTAATTTATCGCTAATTAATGCTGACAGGTTTCATATGCCTTGGGTTGCTTTCATGTGAATGTTACTGCGCTTTTTTTTTTTTAATTGTGTGTACACATCCCTCCTCATTCATTCATTTTGATTCTGACGATTTACACAGCTTTCTGTCTTCTAGGTTCCCTCCCCATATGGTCCCTCCCCATCATACTCTCCACACGACCGGCATCCCCCATCCGGCCATCGTCACACCAACAGTCAAGCAGGAATCCTCACAGAGTGACGTCGGCTCACTCCATAGCTCGTAAGTGCTAGCTACCATTGTCGTTTCATGCTCTGTGGCCTGTGTGATGCGCCGCCACATGGCCACTGCTTGGTAGCTTTCTAGCTGAGGTCAGCTTCTCCTGTTGGGCCCTAGTAAGCACCCAGTCCACGTGGCCTCTGGCTTCCCTATGAAGGAGGACATGCTCTCTAGCAGGTCTCACTAACTGTCACACTGCTGCTCAGAACAGAGATCTCCATGGTGTGTATTTGAAGAGACTGTGGGTTGCATTTGGAGCTTTGTTCAGCAAGCAGGACGGAACCCTGGAAAGTGGGGTCTACCACCCTGTACTTTCCCTCTACCCTGGGAATATGTCTATTTGCAAATTGCAAGGAAGTGATTTCGGAATCTCTCACCAGCCCGGCCTCCTCCTCCAGCTGTTTCTGGCCCATGGCCCACGCTCTGGGGTGGGAAGGTCTGAAAGTAGACATGAACTTTTTATCTGAAACTGCCAGGCTTGGATGGGAAGGAAAAGGAACGTGGGCTCTGCTTTGGGGGACGCTGACTACGTTGTTGTTCATCGGATGCTGTGTGTCCATCTCCTTTTGTCTCTATCCAGAAAGCATCAGGACTCCAAAAAGGAAGAAGAAAAGAAAAAGCCCCACATAAAGAAGCCCCTTAATGCGTTCATGTTGTACATGAAGGAGATGAGGGCGAAGGTGGTGGCCGAGTGCACACTCAAGGAAAGTGCAGCCATTAACCAGATCCTTGGGCGCAGGGTAGGTGGACCGGACAGGGACAGGTGCCCTTTGCACCTTGCTCTGTAGAGCATTGCCCCCAACCCTGCCACCTTGAGTGTATGGCTTCCACTGGTCGAGACCACTGTGCTTTTGAACAGCATTTAGGATAGCCACATCCCTCATCTTCCTGCTGCAGACACAACCGAGGACAGAAGGGCATAGAGGACAGACATGTTTCCTCTGGGCACTATTGTTAGTGCCAGGACTAGCAAGCTGTTGGTATCTGCGCGTTCTGCCATGTCTGGATAGCCTTATGCCCCCATAGCATCTTGTCTCATTTATTTTCATGATGTAGTTTGTGATTTTCTGCATGTCTTTCTCTCTCTGTCCCATGTGCTCTGCAGTGGCATGCCCTGTCCAGGGAAGAGCAAGCCAAGTACTACGAGCTGGCCCGGAAGGAACGACAGCTTCACATGCAGCTGTATCCTGGCTGGTCTGCACGGGATAACTATGTATGTGGACCGCTTCCTAGAGAATTCAGCCTTTGTGGCTATGTTGTGTGTCTGCCCGGACCCAGAGGATAGGTTATTGCCTACTTGAACCAGGCCTCCAGACCATTCATTCTGTCTACTTGTGGGACCTGTCCCTGACCCCTAACCAAGGAGCTTGGCTTTCAGAGTGACTCTGTTACGTTAGCAGATGGTCATTCCTCCGGAAGCAGGGAGGAAGCTGGCATCCATGTTCCCACACGGGATTCTGGAGACTGATTTGGGCGGCGGGGGTCTGTGCTTCTTTGCCTACCTCTTAGAAAAAGTGGAGCTCCAAAACACATCCAAAAGGACTTGCATTCAGATTAAGCCCTGCCGTGAGTGTGTAGCTTTATAGAAACCAGGCTAGATGGAGGGGTGGGGCATATTGAACTCCTCACAGGCCTTCCAGCAGGGCCTATAACCTCAGGGAGGAAAACCAGGCCAGGCTGTCACAGGAGCTGGAAGCCTGTTTCATCCCGAGAAAGGCATGATGGGAATATTCCTGAAAGTAGCCAGTAGACATCATATTTTGGTAGGGAAGATGAAATGACTTTGGGTTCCACAGAGGTAGAGAAGGGTGTGTGTCACATGACTCATCTGTCACATGATATGTGTGCTTCTGGGCTCTGTTGGCAAATCAAGATTTCTTGATTTTCTCTCTCGGCTTCTTAAACATCATTTTAATAGGATTGTTGTTTTTGCTACTTGCATTGATGGCCCACAACAAATTCACTGTTCTGGAACCCTCTATCACCCACTTCTCGCCATCAGTTCTGGTCCTGTATTTTACCCAGCAGCTCTGAGTTCTGGGCTTCCTCCCTCTCTGGGCGGGTGGAATGTCTCTTGCTTTGTCTCTTCACTGCATCATATTTTCTCTCATGAAATGTCTCCTCCACCCACTCTGATGTCAAAATCAAACCTGCCTTGCTGACATCACAGGCTCCCTTTCTTCTTCCCTCTTGGGAAGGTCACGGAGGCAGGAGAGTGCCTGATGGTGCCATTGGGAAGATGGACTCCATTCCATTGGTATCCTCTTTGGAAGTGCTAGCTCTTTAAATTTCCTTCTCTCTTTTTCCTCTTACCTACAAGGCTGGAGCTGGCTCACCTGGGCTTCCCAGCAGTACCCCTACCCAAGACCCTTCAGGCCTCCCTGCCCTAGACAGCACTTCCGGTCTTGAGAGAGCAGCCCTTATCCCCAGCAGATAAGCCTCATGAGCTCTTAGCTGTGTGAGACCTTTCCGCTTGTCTTTGTGTGTGCTGCTAAGACACCTTTCTTCTGGGGCTGAAAGGAAGAGACAGGGAGCTGAACCCTCCCACAGACTATCTTGTGTACCCAAGCCAATCCCAGGTGACCCTTCAGCAGCAGGCACCCTCCTGTACATATTCAACCATATCACCTCAGGACAGCTGTCCCCCTGACTTCTAGGAGCTCACAGAGTTCAACTCTAATCCAACCCTGACTCCTTACACATCCAATCCTGGAGTCACCAAAAGAGAAGGCATCCCAGAGCAGGATTCAGCTTCTCTATAGCTACCATATCCCAAGGCATCCTAGGCATCTGTGCCTTCATAGGACCTTCACATAAAAACTGCCCAGTGCGGACTATGTGCCGTTTACATGAGGGGCAGGGTAGACGATGCCTCCTGGGGTTGCACAGTCAGACTTGGTGACAGCGTCAGAAGCAGTCTGTGTTGGGCTTGCAGGGAGTCATCCTGTGATGTGCTTTCTAGATTTTTCAGAGGTCCACACGCCACTGGTGCTGACTTCCAGTCTGCATTGGAAGGTGGCTCGGACAATAGGGAGCTGTGAGGGGAGTGGGCTTAGAGGTGGGTTGGATGTAGGGCTGCAGGAACTTGCAGGTTCCTGTTTGAACATCTCATGACACACGTGTGGGAACGCGTGCTCGCTCCTTCCTTCCAGGCTCCCGGGAACACATTTGGGGTCAGGGAACTCATACCTGAAGCTCTTTGGAGTTTGATGGCGATGGGAACTTGCTAGCATTCCTTTTTAACCACCTTGACGATGGAGGTTCTGCAGATAGCTGTGGCTACTGTGAAGTCAAACAGGTTCTCCTGGGGAGATGTGTTTTGAACCAGCCTCTCTTGCCTTTCCAGCCAAGTGGGGCTTAGAGCCTTTATGTCACTCACTACCTTAGGGAAGTGTGTTGGAGCGAAACCCCACCTGGCTGCTCAGACTTGGCCTGTTCTTTAGGACCCAAGAGAAGCTAGCTGGGAACTATAGTAGCAGCTAGCTAGCCAGGCGTCACCACAGAGCATTCCTTCCTTCCTATATTAAAGGTTGTGTATGTCTACTTGATTTCTTTCTCTTGCTCTCATTTCTTATGCTTTTTCTTTTTCTGTTACCTTTAAAGAGGAAGTGGTCCCCCTTATAGCTCGTGTCTTCTTCCATGAAAACACCATCCCTGTCCACTAGAAGCCAGCACTTTGCTCAGTCATAGACATGACCTGCATCCCAAGTGTCAATACACAGCAGAGGATTCTGTAGGGGACCATGAAATGGCCCTGGAGTGTATGGAGGGCGAAGAGGGGAGATACAGGCGCCCTCAGGCTAGACCATGTTTCTTCTGGCTCCTCTTGCCCACTCTGAGAGAGGCACATGGCATGCTTCCATTGTTTTTCCTTTGTGTACCAAGAAACATAGAAGGATCTGTTGTATAGCTGCATGGAGAGCCATAGCACATGGCCCCAGTGACCCAGACCTCATACTCCTGGAGGATAGAGCAGCTCTCTCTGAAATAGTTGGACTCATCCAAGCCTGACACAACCTTGGGGTTGCTACACATCATCCCTGTCCTTTTCTTTTTGGTATCGATGTCACTGTCCCATGAAAACCTTGAAGCGAAGGTGGCGACATTTACATATTCTGAAGCACACAGATTTGTAGGACCACAGCTGCCTCACACGGGCCAGAGAGCCTCCCTACAGCCCTGCAGGGGGACAGGTGCCCCAGAGCCTTGCTCGCTCACTTGATAGGGCCAGGCTGGCAGTGGCAGTGACTTAAGGAAGTCTCTGCACCCTTGAGATGTCAGAAGGGCTTCTATCAAGGGTCACAGACAGGACTCGGTAGAAGGCTCGGCCCATGGCTGAGGGCAGTGCTTTGAGACCATTGGGTCTGCACTTTAGCTCCACCTCATCTTAGCTGTGCCAACTCAAGAACACTGCCTTGCCTCTCTGTGCCTGCTTCCTTGTTTGTGATGAGTGATGCGGATGCACATGTGCCCTGTAGAGTTGTTGCCAGTTGGGTCACGGCTGGCTCCTCAAGTGTACTTGACAAACACTGGCCGTCGTGTTAGGAGTGGCTGCTATAATGAAGAGCTAACCTTACGACAGTCCATAATTTTAATACTTGTTAGGAGCCAGCCACTCTAACAGCATGATCATACGCGTTATATAGATGCCATGGTTTGCCACAGTTTGTCTTAGAATTTTTCAGCTTCATGGTGGCGTGGAGGCACACCATATAACCGTCCTACTCTCCACATTTAAGAAAGTGTGCCGCCAGTGGCACAAGCCGTTCAACACTTTTTGATAAGGCAGGCTTCATGGTAGATGACTTTGCCCACCTGTAGGCTGCTGCCCTGTGCGTGTTTGAAGTGGGCTGGGCTACGCTGTGATGTCCTGAGAGCTGGGCATACATATGCATTTGTGAATTACGACCTCTGTGACCTCTGTGATGTGTTTGTTGGAGTGCAATCAGAGGACTACCTGTATCTAACATTAGAGAACGGGACACCGCTGCCCCTCGCCTATGCGCGTCTGCCCTGTGTGTTTGAAAGAAGCCCGGGTAACACCTCGTTCTCCCTGAACCTTCACTCCTGCTCCTTTCCGTCTTGTAAGAGGAAGGATCGTACTGCATTTCTGAAAGAAACCACTACCACAGAAAAACTAGAGTCATTTCTCTCTCAACTCAGGACAGGGAGGGAGGAACACGTTGGCTTTCGTGGGGAGAGACGGTGGGGCAGGTAGGGCCGCTGTGAACCGCTGGAGACTTCCAGGTTTCTCTGTGCCCCTTGGAAGTGTGCTCATCCCGCTTCCCACCATACTCTGCATCCCTCCCTGAGTCTTCCTTGCCTCTTTCTCTTCCCCTTTATGGAGTCAGATGCCCTGGGTTAGGTTGAAGATGGCTGAACCTACTGGCCTCCCCTTTTCTCCAAGAAATGTACGTCCCTCCAGCTAGGCAGAGTTCAAGGGTTAGATTCATGGGTGGCAGACTGCATAGACGTGGGAGAGAGGTGGAGATAGCAAGCTGGTCCCTCCTGGTTCTCCTGCCATGTGAGTCCAGACATCTCCCTGCTTGTCCATTTCTTGACCTAATTTCCTGCATTTCATCTCTTCATCCAGGGGAAGAAGAAGAAGAGGAAACGGGACAAGCAGCCGGGTGAGACCAATGGTGAGTGACAGTATTCAGGGCGATGGAAGGAATGCTAGTTGGAGGGCCACTCTTACGTCAGGCTTCCATCTGGGGGAGGCAGGAGAAATCCAAGGCCAGGACGTTGTGGGAAACCTATCTTAGGGAGCCTTTTTTGTTTATGCGTTTTAATTAATTGCTTCATGACTGCCCTTTTAAAGCTAGTAACATCCATTGTTGCATGAAAAGCCCGTTGTAATTCTGGCGGAATGTGTTTTTAAATGACTGCCAAGCCTGTAACTAGAGAGCCAGTGGTCGGCATGCCTCTGCCGGGCTTTGGACAGCCTGCTTATGTATGTGTCTGAGAAGGGATGAGGAGGGGCCTAGGGGACCAGGAGGAGCGTGTGTGAGTGCTGGGATAACTGGCTGTTCCTGAATGTTCCAATGCATGCCTTTACAGTGGTAAATTGCACCCATTTTAAATTAAGGAGGTTTGTCATTCAGTAGAAGAAACTAGAAATACTGCATAGGCAATCAAGGTCCCTTGAGAAGGCCAGGCTTTTACAGACAAACAAAAATTTTGAAGACTTTGTGTAATTTGTTCTTTTTTTTCAGAACACAGCGAATGTTTCCTAAATCCTTGCCTTTCACTTCCTCCGATCACAGGTGCTAATGTCCTTTTGAGTCATTAAAATAGTTGATAAACTGTTTTTTCATTTTTCTTGCCATTTATAGTTTTATTAACATTAAACACGTATGAGATTTGAACATCCTTTAAAACGATCATCTACACGGTTTCATTATGTTTCAGTAGATTTTTTTTTCCAGTTGCTTTGGTTGGTTTTATTTATTTTTTATTTTAACTTCTGTCTCATTTATTTATTGTTCCCATAACAGTTGTCTAAGCAGCGACGACAGTGGTTTAGAGCTGAACTAACTGTGCAAATTGAATATGCAGTATTTCTTTAAAAGAGACTGGTAAAGAAAAAAAAAATGGAAAAAAATTCAGTAATAAACCTCCTTAATCTAATGGCTTTTCCGTTGCCCACTAAGTCTCCTCACGCCCGCATGCAATCGCAGTATGATTATTTTTTCCCTTTGCTTTCTGTTTATTTATTTTTCGTTTGTTTGTTTGTTTGTTTGTTCTTCCTTTTGCCTTTTATCATTTGCAAATCTGCTAGCTGTTTACTGACTCTGCCTGCTCCCATGCCCGCTAGGAGCTTCTAACACTTCTTAACAGCTCATCCTATGGCCTGTTTACCCTGTCTTCCCTCTTAATATTAATGAAAATAGATTTTAAAAAAAGACAAACTTCCCAAAAGCTGCAATATCCCAATACCCACAACCTTTTTCTTTCTTTATTCCTTTCTGTTTCGTTTTCATTTTGTTCTGTGTTTATTTGTAGCTTTTTTTGTTGTTTCTTTTCAAAACTGTGGTACTCAGAAGAAAAAAGCATGTGATGAACTTAACTCCTTCCCTCGCTTTATTTTCTTCTTTGAGAAAAAGAAAATTGAGAATTAAAAAAAAAAAAACAGAAGTAAACAAAAAGAGGAAAAAAATAATCGAAAGAGCACGTTCTTGCCAATGGGCCGTCCTGTGGGCGGCTAGAACTGGATCTGACCGTCCTTGATAAGGGATACTGCAGCTTTATTTGCAACAGCTAATTTTACAAGTTGAATAAGTGTGATTTTTACCTTTTTTTTTAATAATTAAAGTTTAAAAAAAGAAAGAAAGAAAAATCAATATTTTGCTATTAGTAACCCGGTCTTTGATTTATTCCCTTTTTTTATTTTTATTTTTTTCTTGTTTGTATCTCTCTCCCCCCTCCCTCCCTTCTCTCTCTCTCTCTCTCTCTCTCTCTCTCTCTCTCTCTCTCTCTCTCTCTCCCTCTCCCTCCCTCTCCCTCTCTCCCTCTCTCCCTCTCCCTGCCTCCCACGTCCCCCTCCTCTGCTCGCTCCTTTCTTGAACTCATTCAGACCTGAGCGCTCCTAAGAAATGCCGAGCGCGCTTTGGCCTTGATCAACAGAATAACTGGTGCGGCCCCTGCAGGTGTGTATAGTCTCCCAGATTCGCTGTGCTGGTTTGCAGCTTTCTCCTTTCTCCCCCCCTCTGGCCTGTTGCTTTGTAGCTTTGTGTGTGGATCATAGGAAATACCAGGGAGTGGGGACACTGCCAGTGTGTGGGCTCCACGAGGGATGTGCTTGTCTGCCAGCTGCTGCTAGCCAGAATGCCACTGTAAAACAGTGTGTGTGCCTCCTCAGGGCCGAGACTCAGGCTCCGGCGTGCCCTCTACCAGGGAATGTTGCCTGCCAACCCCCTTCCTTGTGACTGCCCAGGATGTGCTCATCCTGGCCTAGGTAGAAGCCAATGACATCACCTTCTCCCCTCCTCTTCTCTTTCTCTCTCTCTTTTTATTTATTTTCCATTGTTTTTGTTTTGTTTTTTTGTTTTGTTTCTGGTTGTTGTTTTCCTTTGTGTGTGTGTGTGTAGTGTGTGTGTGTTTATTGTTTTATTTGATTTATTTTTTGGTTTGGCTCATAGAAGCCCCTTCCTTTCAAACCCTTGATGAGGGACGATTGTCGAGTAGAGCCCAGATGATGCAGAGAACAAGTAGTGGAGATCTCACATCCGACTGAGCACGACCCACCATTGTGTTGTATTTTTTTTGTGTTTACCTTATGCTAACAGATGCAAATACTCCAAAGAAGTGTCGGGCACTGTTCGGGCTTGACCGACAGACTTTATGGTGCAAACCCTGCAGGTACATGACCATTCCGAGGCCTTGGGAACAATCAAAGCCTTCTGTCCTTCCGCTACTTAGTGGGTCGATTTATTTTGCCCTCATTCGCATCTACTTTCCCAACATCAATAACTAATAAACTCTCATTCTTCAGATTTTCCTTGCTAATTTCATACCGTTTCCTTTCCCCTCTTTCCTCCCTGTTCTTGTGAAGAACACGTCCCTGGTGGCAAGGGCTGACAGCCATGACCTTAACACACGGAGGCAGGCACTGAGGCTCCGGCTTTGAGAGCCAGCGTCCTGGAACTGGCCAGCCTAGTGAATGACGCAGAGAGCCACCGCGTCATCTCCCGGGCCTGAAAGAGTCAGAACTTACATTGGCAGTGGTCGCGTTCCGTGCACTTTGTTAAAGGTGTCTATGGAAGCTCACTGGGGCAGGCTTCTTAAAAAAAAAATCCTTTTTTTCTCTCTCTCTCCCCCCACCTCCCCTTGTTGTTTTATGTTTAAAACACTTATCTGTGTGGAGGAGCTCGTTAGCTGACATTGTTTTACAGTGCTGAAAAAGAGGCGTGGCATTGAATGGCGTGCACCAGCTAACAGCCTGTGGGCAGCGAGGGCTGCAGCGGGTACTGCAGCATTGCCTGCCTGCAGAGCAAACAGTCCACTGTGACTATATGCAGGCGTAGCGTGGGTCCCCGTATGGGTCAGATCAGTACAGGAGTGCAAATTGCGCCCCATGATCTGCCTGCGGTTTTCCCAACTCAGGGTGCTGGCAGAGAAGGTGTAGGTACTTTCTTCTTGGTGGAGGGATACGCTCTAGTACCCATCTCCTTTCCTTTCCTTTTAACGACCACCTTTGGTTAAATTTGTTGTTTCTTTGTTCTGATACAAGCAGTCTTTGAATTTGGAATATTATGATGGTAGGTATCTCAACACCCCAAACACACATCCCTGTTTGTAGTGCCTCCCGCGTCACGTGTCCCTCTTCTCCATCCCCTTGCCGTGCTCCGTGTCTAGACGTTAGATCAGATGTTCATCCCATCACATGCATGCCCACGAGTCTGCTGTGTCTCCTTCTCTGGTGCCAGTATGAGAGATTGCTGACCACACAAGACCCCAGGGAGTGAGGGCCAGGGAATCATCGCTGATGGAAAGCTACACAGATGGCCCTGTGCCCCGGAGGAGGGGAACTGGGCCTTAGACAGACAGCCAGCAGCAGAGCAACTTCCTGTGAGCGGACAGCATTCAGAGATGACAGATCTTGCAGAGCATCTCCAGGGACTTCATGAGAGAGCTGTAGAAGGATGTTAGGTGTTAAATCAGGGTGAGCCAGGGAGGTCAGGGACCTGCTTACCCTCTGTAGGTAAGAAGTTGGTTAACGCTTTACGAATGCCCAGGGTAAGACCATAGAACACCCTGCCATAGCAAGTCACAATAGACACTGTTGCCTGTGGTCCACAGTGAGGCTGGTACCAGTAATGGCCTCATAATTTTATTCCTGAATGTTTATTTATGAACTGTTGCTTTTGGTATCAGATCAGTTGCTGCAAATTTAGTCTTGGCTTCTTTGGAAGCTGGTCCTGACATTAACAAGGATAGACCATCCTCAAATATAACCCATCTTTGCTTAAATCCATGGTGGGTTATCTTCCTCCATCAGAAATTTCTTGATGCTTTTCCCACCACCACCAACAACAATAACAATTTTTTAATTGGGTTTTTATTTTGTTTTGCCAGATTAAAACCTTTGTGGCCTCTTTGTCCTTCAGCAGCTTGGTTCTCTAAAACACACATTGAGGGCTGACTGCCCATAATGCAGCATTTCTTTTGTCAAAGAGGCTGAAACGTCCCTGGACAGAGGGCATGAAGTCCAGCGGGCCCCTGACACTACCCAGCCTTCTTTCTGGCCTCAGCCCCTAGGAAGTTCTAGCTGCCATTTTTTCTTCGGTTTGGACATTTTGGGTTTGTTTGTTTGTTTGTTTTTTTTCTTTTTGTGCTATCTTTTAGCAAGTTTATTCCTGCTGCTGGTTTGAGGAGGCCCTTCCAAAATAGTATCAGGAAACATCCTTAGAATTGTATCCAGGAGAAGCTACACATGGCTGCTACTTATGAGACACCTCTAAAAGGGGGCAGGCCACAGTGTGGAGCTTGGACAAGGAGTTGCCCATTCCCCTTCTGTAATGAATTATTGCACCAGGTAGGGACACTGGAGGGTATCTCGAGCATGCAGGGAAGCATGCTGGGCAGATGCACACCACGCAGGCATGGCGGAGGGCGGCGGCCAGTAATTGACAACCCAGACGCTGCATCCACATGGAGAGTTTATTGTAACAGAGAGGTGAAGAGAAAGAGAGGGAGACAGAGAGAAAGAGAGAGAGAGGTTGAGGGTGCACACTTCCTGGGAGGAAAAGCAGAAGAGAGAGAGGCAGGGGAGGAGCTTTTCCTTAGAATGAGGCTTTTACATCAGGATGCAGGGCGGCGCCAAGGGGTGGGACTTCAAGGGGCGGATCAGAATGTTAACACCTTCCCCAGCTCTTTACACATTGCCATAATCACACTGAGGTAGATGCTAAAATCAATAGAACATTGAGAAAACAAACAAAGAAATCAACACACACACACACAGAAAAGTGCTTGTGAATGGAGGCAGTTTTTGACCCATCCTGACGTGTGTACTCCAGCTCCCTTTGGCTCAGCCAGCCCTACTGGGGGAACATCACTCCACCACCATGGTCTCCCTGTCCTGTGTCCAAATGCTCCCCACACAGCATTTCCGCATGGCCTGGAGAGGAGAGTGGGAGGGGTGAGGCGAGCCTTAGCAGTGCTCCTAGCCAGTCAGGACTCGGTTCTGATTTATTTGGCGTTTAAGGACATCCTGACCAGACTGTTTTGAGCCCACCAAGTTGCTTCCTGTCTTCTTGCCCCGCCCTAACAGAGCCTGGAATGCTGCTACCTGCTTCCCTCTGGCTGTCCCGCCCTCCCTCCCCCCCCCCCCCTTCTCCCTCTGTTTTGCTTACTCCCTCCCCATCTCACCTTCTCTTCTTCTTCCTGTTTTCAAAATGCATGGAGATCCTAGTTTGTGAGCATGCTTTGATCTGCAGGCTAAGGTGGTTTAAAACGGAGAGGGTAAACTGTTGGTTTCATCCCCGGGATGGGAGCAGAACCCAGTCTGTGCCAGTCTGTCCAGGGAGAGAAAGGAAGCCTGCTAGACAGGCTAAGAGGGGACCATCCTTGCTCCCCTAGAGTTCCTTCTGGCCTAGACAGGCCCAGCCCTGAGGCCACTTACCCCAAAACTCAGCCTCTGGGAGGCAGGGAGGACTGAGCATGCCCTCTTCTGCCCTTTTCTCCTTTCCTCCCCTCCTCCCACTCTCCAGAGTCCGTGCCGCGAGCCCCATGCTCTGGGCCTAGACCAGAAGAACTGATACTGAGTACAGCCCCATCCTTTCAAATGCCAGAGACACTGTCCCACGGGGGTTGCCGTCAGATAGGCAGTGTCTTGGAGGTTCTTCCGTGACCTGTTGCTGGCCCGTGCTCACACACTTGGTTTTGGATGGCGCAGTACCCACCCACCATGGTTCTGATACTGTATTGAAGTCTTTGGATGAGCACATTCCCAAGTCTGAATTGTTTTTACAGCATTAGTGGGTTGATCCCCGGGATCACTTTTCCTACTAAGTAGGTTCCATCAGCCAGCGATTAATGGTGGGCAAGGCTTTGAAGTCACTTGCCTGATTTCTTGAGTTGGTTTTTCCCACCTTATTCTTTGATAAGTCAGAAAGGCTCTGAAATTCTCATTCCTCCTTCCTACACAAATGAGTTGTGGAGAGGGGAGACTATGGTGCTGGTGTAGGGCAGATTTAGTCTTTCTGGTTCAGACCCTGATCCCAAGGTCCCTCCTGCCCCTTCTTCCTGTCACTTCTCTGTGACTGGCTTGTGCTATGCTCTCGACTTCCTGAGCTCAGCCTATGACAGGGGCAGGGCACCCCCATGTGCCATTCTCACTCCGGACAACCTTCTCACTAGGAGGTGGGGAAGCCCCAAATCTTTAAGGGGAAAAAACAAAACCAAAAATATTTAAAAAACAAAACAAAACAAAACAACTTTGAATCTTAATTTTATCCACAACCTGCAGGCCATGTCAACCAGTTATTCTCGTACTTTTGAATCATTTTCTGTTTTTCTTATTCTCCCCTCTCCCCTGCCTTTGTTTACCCTCTTCTACCTGTTTTTTGGTGGCTCTTCTTTCTTTTTCTTTCTTTTTTTCTTTTTGGTTGGTTTTGTTTTTTCAGTTTGGTTTGGTTTGGTTTGGTTTTCCCCCATTCCCCTCCCCTCTCACCTGATTCTGACCTCTCGATTTGGTGTGGTTCGTAACAGACAAGCCCCAAAGCTCTCTGGGAACCGCTGCCTCAAGGTGGTGGTGTGTTAAAACCTTTAAGCCCCTGCTAACGCTGCCTTCAGCTATGTGGGCTCAACAGTCAGCATTCTGAGAGTTTCATATTGATAAGAGGCCACTGGGGAAGGAGCTTTCTTTCTCTTTTAAATACACTCAGACATCATTGGAGACTGGGGGTGGGGAGGGTGGGAAAAATCGGGAGGGCAGGCAAGAAGATGTGGTGGGAAAGGAAGGTCATTTTAAGCCCAAAGAAAAACAAATTATGTTAGTTTTCACGGAGATACAACCACTTCCCGGTGAATCTGTGCCACCCTCTGCAGGTGACTTCCATTAGTCTGTTCATGTATATTCTGGAAGGAGTGGGACCCTTGGGTGTCCAGGGAGGGCAGGACGTGGGCAGGGCACCTTCATTGCCAGAGCAGACGTAGACATGGGAGCCACACAGCCCCCTGAAGTCACTGCTTTAATTGCTCTGTGCCTGCCTGGCAGGACTTGCAGGGGGACACCCCTTAGGTGACATCGTCTTTTCGTGAGCATTAGATAACTCTCTACCTTGGCGTCTTTGCCCTTTATTCACAGATAACTCTCTCCCTGTTTCTAGGAGAAAAAAAAAGTGCGTTCGCTACATACAAGGTGAAGGCAGCTGCCTCAGCCCACCCTCTTCAGATGGAAGCTTACTAGACTCTCCTCCCCCGTCCCCGCATCTGCTAGGCTCCCCTCCCCAAGACGCCAAGTCACAGACTGAGCAGACACAGCCACTCTCACTGTCCCTGAAGCCCGACCCTCTGGCCCACCTGTCCATGATGCCACCGCCACCTGCGCTCCTGCTGGCTGAAGCTGCCCACGGCAAGGCCTCCGCCCTCTGTCCCAACGGGGCCCTGGACCTGCCACCTGCTGCCCTGCAGCCACCCATGGTCCCCTCCTCATCGCTCGCACAGCCGTCAACATCTTCCTTACATTCCCACAACTCTCTGGCTGGGACCCAGCCCCAGCCTCTGTCTCTGGTGACCAAGTCTTTAGAATAGCTACACCTCGTCCACCGTCCCCTGCTTGATTGAAGTGTTTCCTTCCGGTTCTTGGTTTGCCCCCCGCCCCCCCCCGCTTGGAAAGCTTTTGTTTTGTACTCTTCATTTTGTGCCACCGTGGCTACATGAGTTGATGTTTATCGAGTTCATTGGTCAATATTTGACCCGTTCTTACTTCACTTTCTCCTTTTAAATATGTAGATGAGAGAAACCTCATGATTCTACCAAAATTTTTATCAACAGCTGTTTAAAGTCTTTGTAGCGTTTAAAAAATATATATATATACATAACTGTTATGTAGTTTGGATAGCTTAGTTTTAAAAGACTGATTAAAAAGTGAAAAGAAAAAAAAAGAGAGAAGCAGTTTGGAAGCACCCTCCAGAAGGAGTTGGTTCTGTATTATTTGTATTAAATACGAGCTTGCGAGCCAATCACTTTACATCTCGGTTTTTAAACCACGAGGGCACGATGGATGCAGTGCCATTTCTTTCTTTTTCTTCCTTTTTTTTTTCCCTCTGTGTGAAACGACTTTTATTGTGATGTTACTTGTTATTGTTTAAATGTACAGAAACAAAGGGTTAAAATGTGTTAATATACCTTGTTCCATGGTGTTGTTCTTTTGGGGGGAGGGGGACGCTACTCACCATGAACGGAATCCACGCTGTTGGACCAGTAGTATTTATTGCTTTAGAGGTTGCTTGCACCTGTGCGTCCGTCCCTTTTTAAGTATGTTTTTTTTCTTGAAACTGTATAAAGTCCCTCCCCCTTAGCATAAGCATCTTATATATAACAACTCATTTGTACAAGGTTTTTAAGTTTATATATAAAATGTGTATATATTTTTTTGTTTCCTTTTTTTGGCTTTTGTTTGTTTGTTTATTTCTGTGTAAAACCCAGATGCCACCAAATGGACAATAATAGTTGCATTAAGGATCGGTAGCATTAACAAAAGTTGCTTTAAAAGCCATTTTGTAAAACAAGACTTGAACATTAGTGAGAGAATCTTAGCAGCTGTCTGAGCAGCCGTGGGAACCGCCCTGTTTCCCCCCGACCTCCTAGTCAATTGCCCTGTGCTCTTAGAACATGGACTGACCGTGTGCAAAACTTTTATGTGCCAAAATTCTCAGTGACTTTAGCTTTCTCCCTCTTTTTTGATGCTGTACTTTCTGTTCGCCATGTTTTGCTGTGACGTTACATAGATAGATTTGTATGTAGTTTTAATGTCACCTATAACAAAATGTGTTTGGTAGCAGACTGTCCAGAAAGCATTTTAAATGAAGAGGTCTAAACCCTTAAGGGCCCAAAATTCTGTATATTAGATTACTCTTAAATGAAAAAAAAAAAAAAGAAAAAAAAAACCAGCTGCCGCTTTTATGTACACATATTACATACAAGTAGGTGGTGAACTTTAAAAACAAGAAAACCTAGGCATGCTGATGTTGTAAAATGCTGTACAAAGCTGGGACCTGTTCCTTCAGTGCCATCGTAGTTGACATGAAGCGATTGTAAAACTGTCTCCGGTTTTCTCTGGTTTATTAAAATGCTAACTATAACATTTTTTTGTGAATACTTTGAATGTTCCCTAACAGTTGTGATGTTACTGTTCTGTTTGATGCTTATTCCAAGTTCCTTTTGAATGGTTTGGAAGCCATTTTTGTAATGAATAAATGTCCATGCTGTATAGTATCCGTAGCATGCCATTCTGGATTAATAAAAGCAACTTAGTATGTGCAGAGAAAGGCTGGTCACTTGCTTCTGTGATTTGGGGTGGTGGTATCTCTTTTGGACACTGGACTTCCTCTGGAGGGAGATGGTGTAGGTAGTATGTGGTGGTGTGTGGTGTGTGGTCTTAGAGCTTCTTGACTCCCTCTCCCCACCCTTGGTGAATGTTTGGTGTGCCATGCACACCTGGTTTATGTATGTCTCATTTGCAGGGAAGACTCCTGTATGCGAAGGGACTTTGGGGTGTTTTCTTCTATATCCCACTGTGTCACAGTAAAGGAACAAATGATGCTACTTTGACCATCACTTACTCATACCCTGTTCATTGCACAGTGTGAAACAATTTGACTCTAGAAAGTGTGATTTAGTTCACCCAGAGTGGACTTAAGGAACAGTGGGTACCACCTGAGGATGGTGAATGTGAGCGTGTCTTGACTAGTCACTACCTGAGGGAGGAAGGCAAGGATGCAGGGTTCTGGTTTATCTAGCAATCATTGAGCAAGCATCTTTTTAGAAAATTGGCATCCCATTCACATAGCTGTGCATGTGATTTACAATTGTGCATGGAAGAAAGTGATTTGCACAACTGTGCATGTAAGGGGGCTTGTTCTTCAGGGGACCCATGTTCTGCGTTATCTCCTGGAATGACTTCAAGTTGGTCACCATCACTGAGGAGGGAAGATCTTTGCAGTGAAGATCTTTCTGTGGTCACTGGCTATCTCTTCTCATTGTTGGGTGGATGGAATATTTATTGTCCATGTGTCTAGGATCTCTGTGCCTTCTGAGGGTGGCAATTTCAGCCATCCCAGAAGCTCTTCATGTGGCTGCTACTTAAGATCAACCATGATATTGGGTCAAGAACTTTCAGGACCTCTGCCTTGCCTGAGCTAGCTGTGGGTCTGTGAATTTTCTGTATTTTGTTTTTGTCCGGCTTTGTACTCTGGTAAGGGAATGTCTGATTACCCTTCCCTACTGTATTCTGTATCCAGGGACCAGATTGACCTTTGAGAACAGAAATAAGAACATTGTGTGCTATTGGTGGCAACGTGCCAACTTGTCCCTGTGCTTTTTCTCATTAATCCTACCACCGCTGGCGGAAGACGCCCCTGCTGGCCTCTGCCTTATTTCTAACAATGGATTGAGAAATACAATATATCTTGTCCAAGGCCACAGTTGGTAGAGGGGGGAATTGGAGGGACTTCAGTGGAGACCTGGCTTCAAGCCATGTTCTCAACACCAAGTTAAACCTTCACATGCTCGAGATGTCCCTTCTCCCTGCTCGATATAATAGGACAAGCCTTCCTTGCTTCGCCTGAGCCTACCTCTGCCTCACCCTCCTGTTCACTCTCAGGAAATCCAGCTCACAAGAGAGCGAGGCTCCCATGAAGCATTGCCGTTCTTGCTGGGGGCTCCTCCTCAAGCCTCCGACCCCTCTGTAGACAGCACTTTCTCGTGGCCCCATCCTGTGATGATAGGCCTTTTTTCTGTGCTCTTGAAGCCCCCCAGTCCCCTCACTTTAGCTCACTAGCTGCCACCACCCAGTGTATTACCTCCTCTGGAGGCTCTAGGGCACACCATTCCCCATGTGACATTTTGGAGTGGTGCATTCATACTTGCAAGGACTTGTCTTGTGCAAAAGCAGTTTATCATCCTTCCTGGCTTCTACCCCATAGATGGAAGCAGCACCCACCCTGTCCCAATCCCTCTGCCCCCTGACAATCAAGACAACCAAAACTATCTCTAGACATTCCTAAATATCCTCTTGGGGGCCAGAGTCACTCCACCTGAAATTCTTTTTTTTAGAGAGCCCTCCAAACAGACAGAAGCATGGCTTTCATGTTCAATGTTGTGTGCAAAGGTCCTGGGCACCTGATAGGTGCCCCATATGTCTTTGATAAAGGAAAGAAGGAAGGCTATTGTCCTTGGTGTTCATGTGGGAAACAGGATGGAGACTGATTAATACTTCTGTTGTGTACTCCCACAATGCCAAGGGTATTGGTGATGACCTCAGCCCCTTAGCATGCTGGACTGTGAAGAAGTAGTGTGCCCCTTACAGATGTCAGGAGGAAGGGCAGTCCCTTTGTTTTTAGCCACCCCAAGGCATATCCCTCATTAAATTCAGAGTGGGGGTCACTTTGCTCCTTGCTTGTGTGCACTGCAGTGTTTGAACTGTATTAAGAGCTCTCCCCAGGTGTCTCTTCTTCTGGGCCATCAGGAATCTAGTCTCCCAAGTTCAGGACCCAGTCCTGGCCTTCGATCGTTCCTACTGCAGCAACTTGAAGCCTGCCTCCCTCAAGTTTATTTCCATGACTTGCTTGCCGTGTCATGTCACCTTCCATTGTGTCTCTGTCCCCAGAGTCACTTCTCATCTCTTGTAAGGATACATGTGATTTTACTCCAGGCCCAGTTGGATAATTCTTGATATGCTATCTTTAGATGCTTAACTGTATCATGTGCTGTATATATTTGTGTGTGCATTTGTGCATGTATGTGTGCATGTATGTGTGTGTTCCTGTGTGTATGTGTGCATGTATGTGTGTGTTCCTCTGTGTGTGTGTGCATGTGGAGAGGTGTTGGTGGTGGTGTTTGCATCGATTGATACAAGGCCTTGGCTGTGTACCTGCACCTGTTCCAGGATGCCCCATGCACCATGCTCCACTTCACTCCTTCCTCAGCCTCCTCAGTACCAGGATTGTAACTGTGCAGCACAATGCCTGGCCACGTGGGTGTGGACTGGGAGAGGCCAGCACTCGGCCCACTTTGCTGACCCGAGGCTGACTGCTGGTTCTGGATGCACTTCCTCTGTTAGTGTGGTCTGGGATTACTGTAGCAGGTGCCTTCCTATGGCAGATACTAGAAGGTTCACTTCTGAGTCCAATGACTCACGTATGCAGTTAGAGGGCCTTTCTTCCAGATTTGGGACTTCAAGAGAAGCAGCAGCTTGAGGCAGGGGAGTGACTCTGAACTTAGAGCACCCTGCATCTCACTTTATGTATTCCCTCATCCTTCTTCGTCCATGTTTCTCCAGCCCAGTGGTGACAGTCATGTTCATTTCCATAGTCTTACTTGGAAGATAAGCCGCAGTGTATTAGGATCATGGAAGCCAAAAACCAGTCTTTCATCCGCCTTCTTTATCTCCTTAGGATTCTGTGAGTCCAACTCTTCACAGCCCAGTTAGAAAGCCTCAGAAATCTAGATACGTAGGGTTGCATGTGTATGACCCAGGGATACCAACCTCACTCATAGTGTTCATTAAACTTGGAGCTCGACGACCCTCTAAGAGTAACACCCCCTCTTTAGAAGGTCTCATCCCTGGCTGGTGTGCTTTTTGCAGTATAAATGAGTTTTCAGTTAAAGCCTTTTGGAAAGACTCTTGGGTATCTGAAGACTCTTGCAGGTGGCACCAGAGGTGAGAGCTGCAGACCAGAGCAGGGATCGCTGAGGAACTGGGTGAAGATTGGATTTTCTCAAGCATTTCCAGCTGAGGTTACCCTCTCCACCTCCCACCCAAGGGCTAGGTGAGCATCCCCAGGCCCAGAATAGAGGCTAGACCCGAGTTAGTATGTGTCTGGCAGGCAGCACTGGTAAGGTCCAGCTGGGGCTTTTTAGAGCTGACCTCTTGTGAGTACACTTTGCATGAGTTGTGAGTGAGCTCATCATTCATTCATTCATTCATTCATTCATTCATCCATGCCTCCAATGACTATTTCTTGGACACTAATCTGCACTATGGCTGGTTCTAGGCAACGGCACATGTATGAATTAAGCCAGCTTGCTCCTCTTTCTTCCTCTCTAGGTTTCCTCTTGTATCATCTTACAGTACATACTTCGGTATATAGGGTGACACAAGAGGACAGGCTAAGATCTGGACTCACATTTCTCATTTAATCTTCAACAACAGAGCAGGTGCCAGTGTGTTCATTTGATAAAGATAGAAAGTCAGGTTTAGACTTCCTCAGTTTCCCTGAAAGGACCTATGTGGAAACAGTAAGTCTGCAATTTGATCTGAGTCTAGGAGCTAAACACCACATGAGATCACCTGTGTTAGCAGCACAGACAGCTGAGTAACTAGGTAGAGACAGGTCGAAGGGCTGACTTGAGCCACACCCTGGAAAGAGGATTTTACTGAGCCCACCAGGGATGGGTCCTTTCCCAGTTGTGTTTACAAGAGCATACAGAAGTTACTTGTGTTTTCTCATCCTTGGTTTCTGAGTGAAGAAGAGGAAGGAAGAGGAGGAGGGAGGAAGACGATGATGATGACAGTTGACTGTCACATGGATTGAGCCATTTTTGGACTCAGCACTAGAAGTTAAAGAATCTTAGAAAGACTGGAAGAAAATGAAGTGTATGTTTTTCAGTATTGTCTATTCATATCATATAGTGTTTTTCACATTATGGGTTGTAAGCCATTGAAGGTCAGGAGATCAATGCAATGCATCAAGGTTAGAGTTTTTAAAAGCAACAGAGAATGAAATAGAAAATAGACTCTTTTGTCATATGTGTTTGCTGCATTATCTAAAGTCTTCCTTACTGTGCTGAGAGTAAAAAGTGCAAAAGCCAAGTCTGAACAATAGAAATAGCTGTAATACATTAAGAAAAAAATAATTTTAATATATAAAATGCAATATCCACATGTAGAAAATGTAATTAATAGAAGTTTTTTTGATGGACAGATTATTAACTTATACTAGTATTCTCTCAAATGGTTTGTTGGAGCTCTGGTCCTGTGGATTCTACTTGGTCAAACTGTTGGGACATTTCATACTATGTTTCCCCTTGTAGCTTCAAAGTGTTCGCTAATTAATTATCCCTGGGCTGGGGAGATGGCTTAGTGGGTAAGAACCTTGCTTTATATGCAGGAAGACCTGCCTTTGAACCCCAAGGACCCACATTAAGATCTAGGCAGCTGTCTGTAACCCCAGCACTAAGGAGTTCCATGACTCTTAGGAGCTTGATGGCCAGACACCCTAGCCCAGATAGTGAGTTTTAGGTTCAGTGGGAAATCCTTCTCAAGGGT